AAGCTTCAAGTAACTGGTTTGACAACAGTAGTATTCTGTTGATTACAAAATGAAACTCAAATGTGTGAGGTCAGTATGAGGGCTGCAAAAAGAAGGTGCGCTGCAGGCCATAAAGTACACATGCAGGTATGTGGGAATACCCATCATTTTCTAGAAAGGGCAACATGGTACAAAACTAGATTTCTAAGAGCTTATTTTCCTGGTGCAGTATTTGCATACAAAGGATGGGAAAGAGAGTAAGGTCTCAATTTCTGTCTCTCATGCCAGCTAGCGGAAGAAATGAGAAGACTTCACCTTTCTATAATAAGATTTGGCCAGGGAGCACCGATCATATATTTCAACTTCCAACTTTATTATTATTATTATGGCCATCAGTCAGCTAAATTAGATAAACAAGAATGGGGAGGAAATGGAAGCTCTTGACACGGACCCTCCCCCCCAAAAAAGTGCAGGTAGATATTGATCAGGGATGGGCTGGTTCAAATGGCATGCACTTTGTGTGGTCACTTGTGAAAGGAGTGAACCAGACCATCCCCAAATCAGACCAAGCAGCGGGACAAATGCTCATCTGATAACTCCCTCACTCAGGTGGGAAAGAATGGAAACAAGTGACCTGTGAGCCCGTTGGTCAGGTATAGCTGATTGTGGGTGGAAAACAACAAGGTCCATATGTCCCTCCTTCTGCTTCTTTATCTTTAGATCATATTTGACCCAAACAGCACTTTAAAAAGAAAGCACTTTCAGAAGGAGGATTGCACACTGGCAACTCTTCTAGTAGAGGGCTGTCCTCTCTAAAAGAGGGCCTGTGGAGAAGTTGAATTGATGTAGCCTCTCTCATTGACATAGCTCCCAAATTTCTGTCAATTTTGGGCAGTGTCCATGACCAAGGAACACCATTTAACATTGCCCAAGCAGAACTCCAAACTGAGACATCTTCTAAATACTACACAATATTTTTATGCTGGCTTTAACTAGCTTATTTAGTATGTAAACTACATTTTATACCAATTTCTCTGATATGGGTTTTGCCACATTTCGAGGAAGCAGACAGGCACCCTTTTCACTGGCCAACAGTTAACTGAAAGTTCACATTTTGCACTTTCCCTGCCTCCCACGTGGTTTTTTTCAGTTCTTAACTCAAATCTAAGTATGTAAGTCAAGTCAGTATTTTCCTATGAGAGTGGTTCTTAAGTCAAAATGTTCTTAACTCGAGCCGTTCTTAAGTCAAGACCCCACTGTATGTAAACTAAATTTTATACCAATTTCTCTGGTATGGGTTTTGCCACATTTCTGTGTGCTTCTTCTGTCAGCCAAAAAGGAACTATGTATTTCAATATGTCTGTGATGATTCTCAGTCATCAGGTGAAGTTATCTGGAAGTTGAGTCATGGCAACTGGACTTCTTTCTGATATATCCTCCACGCTGTCTGGTTGTTGGGTCATGGCAACTGGATTTCTTTCTTATTAGGTTGAAATGTTATGTTACTTATCCAAGTAACATCTTTAGTCTGAGGAGAATTGGTAGGAGACCCCTGATATACTCTCCACATTGGTTTTACTTTCCCCTGGTCTGAATAGGCTAATTAGATGGACAAAGGATATATCAAGGATCTCCTATAAACCCTGATATACTCTCCACATTGGTTTCACTTTCCCCCCCGGTGTGAATAGGCTAATTAGATGGATAAAGGATATATCAGGGATCTCCTATAAACTTACCTCAGACTGAAAAAGCTACTTGGATGAGTAGCGAAAGGTTTCAACCTAATAGGAAAGAAGTCCAGTTGCTATGGTTCAATTTCCAGATAATCTAACCTGGATGACTAGATGGACAAAGGATGGATGCGGGTTGAGTGAAAATCCCACTGCTGCAGTCCTTCTTTACTCATTGTCATGGCTCATTAACAGTGGTCTTTCTGGTGCGTATGTGGTCCTGATCTTTCTAGGGACGATGAAAGGGCGGCATGATAAATAGGAGACAGATTGTATCTACACCCCTGTTGAGTGAAGGATTTTCTATATGCACATGTATGACCTCCCTGACCCCTCTCTCAAACTACCTGCTTTCTCCATCCCACCCCTGTTGAGTGAAGGATTTTCTATATTCACATGTATGACCTCCCTGACCCTTTTCTCAAACTACCTGCTTTCTCTATCCAAAATGAATACATATGAATACATATTGATCATCAAATGAGTGTCTTTTGTCCTTCAAATGAACACTGCTGATTGTGGTTCCTATAACTTGGTCATCAAATGAGTCTCCTTCAAATGAAGGAACACAGCTGATTGTGATCCTGAGTCCTGTCTTTTGGGTGGATGAGTCTCTGCCTTAGTGTGTTCCTGGGTTTAAAGTGCACGATTATGCACCTTAGTGTGTTCGTGGGTTTGAAGTGCATGGTTATGTGGTGCTTACCAAAAATCCTTCTGAGCTTTTCAGACCCAGCAGCCATGTAAGGAATGACCAGGTTCTTTCATTGGCTCTGGGTCTCAGACTATTCCATTGTCCTGCTGGGTTGGGACACTGCCTTATTAAAGGCTTATTTTGGATATCCACATATCTTACAGCTGTGTTCACATGACCCCTAGTTTGTGTTGTAATGGGTGATGAGAGTCAAATCACAGGTATTGATCAGTATGTGTAAGGTTTCTGTAGATTTCTATTCCTAAGCTGCCACTGGATCGTATGATGACTGCACCGTCAAGGAATGCCAGCCAATTTTCTTTGCTGTCCTCCCTGGTGAACTTACAGTAATATCTGGGTCCACCGCATTGATGTGGTCTGCAAAGGCCTGTACTTCCTGAATCTTGATCTTCACCCAGGTGTTGTCCACATAGCTGAACTAATGGGTTGGAGTCATTCCCTGGAAGGTTTCGATCAATATGTGTTTTAATAAAAGGCAGTGCTTGTGTATAGATGCAGAGTAACTGGCAGCTCCTTGTCTGAGAAGATTGGTAGGGTGATACCTTTATTTGATTATTTGATTTTATATTTGGAAGCCGCCTAGAGTGGTCCGGTGGGCCAGATAGGCGGGGTATAAATTAAATAAATAAATAAATACATTTATTAATAGGGACGTGGTGGAAGATTTCTATTCCTAAACTGCCATTGGATCGTATGATGACTGCACAGTCAAGGAATGCTAGCCAATTTTCTTTGCTGTCCTCCCTGGTGAACTTACGGTAATATTTGGGTCCACCGCATTGATGTGGTCTGCAAAGACCTGTACTTCCTGAATCTTGATCTTCACCCAGATGTTGGCCACATAGCTGAACTAATGGATTGGAGTCATCTCCTGGAAGGTTTCAATCAATGTGTGTTTTAATAAAAGGCAGTGCTGGTGTGTAGGTGCAGAGTAACTGGCAACTCCTTGTCTGAGAAGATTGGTAGGGTGATACCTTTATTAATAGGGACGTGGTGGCGCTGCAGGTTAAACTGCAGAAGCCTCTGTGCTGATGAGCACCACCCCCTAGAGTCAGACACAGACTGGATTAAATGTCAAGAGGAACCTTTACCTTTACCTTACTTTTATTAGACTAAAATTTATCTTAGCTTCTCATAAGGGGTTTACTCTATTTCTCTGTACCTCCATCCCCACCCAAAATAAATTCACTACCAGAGGTGCAATCTGAAACTTACATCTCTGACTTGACTGCAGTTCCCATTTTAAAACCTGCTGTAAGCAGAGATGCCTGTCCCAGATATGTGCTAGAGTCAGACACGACTGGACTAAATGTCAAGGGGAACCTTTACCTTACCTTAATTAGACTAAAATTTATCTCAACTTCTCATAAGAGGCTTACTCTATTTCTCTGTACCTCCATGCTCACCCAAAATAAATTCACATTACCAGAGGTGCAATCTGAAACTTACATCTCTGACTTGACTGCAGTTCCCATTTTAAAACCTGCTGTAAGCAGAGATGCCTGTCCCAGATATGTGGCCATGATTTTTGGATCTTTCATATATTTTTTCAGTTCCATGCACAGGTCTGTGATGCCTAGCCTGATGAAGTTCTATATGGGCAGCTAGCTTCAGTTTGTAATTTTTTAGTTATATGCTGATAAGTCAGAACTGCCTTGTGAGTTGATGAGTGGTTTTGTCAGTTCCATTCCCCTGTGAGTATCCATGGCTAAATCAGGATTTGAACCCTCGTCTTCACAGTCCTAGTCCATCATTCGATCCACAACACAACACACCACACTAGGTATTCAGAAGTGCCAGTCTGTACGGTCTTGGGCAAGCTGCACAGTTGTACCATTCCCTTCCCAGAAGAAGGGAATGATAAAACCACTTCTGAGTACTCTCTATCTATAAAAACATGAAAAGGGTAATCACAGACAATAGACTTGTTGATGCTATTGTATTGTAATTTTTAGTGGTCTAATAAAGCTACCACTCTCCCTTACCTTTGAAGATTGGGAAGAGCATTCTAATCTACATCAACAAGGGTGAGATTTGAAACCTGTGCCCCTGAGCTGATTCTGCCCTGCGTATTTTAGAATTTGCTTTAATCAAAAGAACCTGGCCTGCACATCTGGGTATTAATTGCAGAAGTTTTACGATTCTCCTGCATGACTCCCAATTCTGTAACGTCTAGCTTGACGATTGCAGGAATCGAAAGCAAGCTTCTGTCTGTGAAATGTGAGTGGTCTCATAGAGGTTGAGAGATTTCTGTAATCTAATAAAGGTATCACCTACTCTTGTTTTTTGGATTCCTAGTCGGGAGACATTCAAAAACGCAAGACGCCCTTTTAAAAAACTTTTATGGGGAAACACCACAACCATTTCCAAAACGCTGCAGGAAAATAAAGCCTTTGGCCTCACTTGCTGTATTTTCATGTGCTAATTGTGTCGGTGTTATTCGCAGGTTCTCTCCTGAGCATGACGGCTTTGATCATCCGTAAATAGGAGCCGGAAGTTTTCATATGCAACTCTTATTACTGTGCCTCTATAAGCAAAACTGAACCGGGGCTAGTTGCTATGGAGACCGCCGAGAAGGGAGGTTAGCCGCCGTCGATTGGCTGAGGGGTGGTGCTAACGCCGGTCGTGAGGAAAGCCTCAAGATGGCGGCGTTGTAAACAAGTGCCGGTGAGTGAGTAAGTCAGGCAGGAAGGTGAGTGTTGTTTGTCGTGTTTTGAGGAGCCTAGCTTTCGGGAGGAGTGCCACAGAACAAGGCAAGAAGAGGCTGAGTGGTGAGAGGAAATAGCGAAATAAAGTCTGAGCGAGGGAGGCTGTGGGTTTTTTCCCCTCTGTTTTAGTAGTTATTCAGAAGGAAACCAAGTGCAATTTATACAGAATCCCATAGAGATCAATGGTGCTTGCTCCTATAATTGAGTATATTTCTCTTACCCACGAAAATGTTTTCCCCCCCCGCCCCGTTCTCCAAAGGTTATGGCAGAATATGAATTTTAAAAAATAAAAACTCGTAGCAACCATACTCTTTTTCTGGGAAAATCGACCTCGGGCAGAAGCTTTTTCTATAAGTGCCTTTTGTGCTTTAATTTCAACCACTTCTGCTTTAACCAAAGGAGTGAGAATGCTTGTGAATCCCACAATTTTTCCAATGCTCCTGGTATAAGATATTTCTTAGTACTGTACAGCATACTGTTTTGCAGATGTAAAGTAACACAGCCATGTGGATGGAGTCAGTCTGAAGTCAATGTTTGGCAGCCTTAAGAAATGGATGTCAATGTATTTGCAAAACAGACTAAAGAGATCTAGCTTATTTAGGGGTGCACCGTCCTAGATGCTTAAATACATCCCATGTTTTGGGGAATTGGGCACCAAATGTGGTTTGCTCTTATCAAAGTATGTTATGTTAGTTTTAAGGAGGTATCTGTGTGTTTAAAGCAGGACTGTCTTCAGCAAGGTAAAAAGTGGGGATGGGGTGTAAAATGGGAATGCAGGTAGCTCTTGAAACACCCAGACTCTTTAAATTCTGGCTGCAGTCCTGTCCTACACTCCTGCATAAAAGTGTAGGCTTGAGTTAGCATGCCTATCTTGTGCATCCCCATTTGCTCAGAATACCTCCCCTGTTTTCTACTTAGGTGTGGCAGATTTGAATTTAAACACACCATGTTTCCATTTTTGTACTAATAATTAATTAATTAATGTACTAATAGAGATCCAAACCTGGGTACAGTAATTACAGATCAGAAATCAATCATCAAAACCAGGAAATAATGAGCAAAATGGTACAGATATGGTCAAGGCAACTAATTCTTATGTTTTGCTTACTACTGCTACTAGTTCTCATATTTTGCTTATAAATAAATAAATCTAAAAACATGGATGTTTAGGCAGGCCTTCCCTTCCAGTTAATTCCTGTCCTCTTTCCTTTTTTCTCTCTCTTTATTTGATTTATTTTTATTTTTCCCATCTTATAGAATCATCTAATTAATTAATTGTTATAAATTTTTTTAGAACTTGTTATCATTTGTTGTAAGCCGCCTAGAGTGGTCGAAATGACTAGATAGGCGGGGTATAAGTACAATAAATAAATAAATAAATAAATAAAGTAATTGAGATATAAATAATTGAATTATACAGTAAATAGTAATTTCTTCATATGCAGTTTTTAAAGAGCAGGAATAGTGCAATTCAAACTTAAAGATATGCCAGATATTCAATGAAAATAAGAGTTCTTGTGCCAGGTTATCTTGGATCTGCTGGCACAATCGTTACAGTATGATGGCTGAGATCATCTGGTAGAAGATACAAAAAGGGAGGGAAGGGATGCCCAGTCTTCTAGCCACTATGCCAGCACACGTGAAGGCTAGAGGCTGGGTAGTCCTAAGTAATTTCTAACAACCTTAGGCTGGGAGGTGTTTGGTTTCAGCCCAGCCTCAGCTGGCTTGGTATCAGCTCAGTCATCTTGGCTAGTTAAGATTGCACCCAAAGTTCTGTTACAACTTTTAAGGCATGAAATCTCCTTTTACTGAGGAGGTTCCTGGGTATAAACTGCAATGGATGGGAGGACTAAACATACAGAAGGTAGCTTACATTTGGGTAAGTTGTTGGCACTGCTTCTTCAGTAAGATTCTCTTCTAACAATCAGATCATATGGATTTTATTCAGAAGGGACTGGTTTGTGAAGGGGGGAATTACTTTTAATTCTAGGAAGCATTTGAAGAGCCATTAATAGCTATTTGTCAGGGTGGCTATTATCAGCTCCAATATTAAAGGTTGTATATTTCTGTGCATCAGTTGCTGGAGAATGCAAGACAGTATGCAGTTGAACTTGCAAGCTTCCCATAGGCAAATGATGCAGCATGACTCTTCCTGTGTTCTCATTTTGAGTAAATCAAAATCACCAGAAGAATGTTTTGGACATTTCTGTACATTCCTAGAATTTAAAACTTGGTTGTCTTGTGGCATTTCATAAGAATTAGATTATTTGTTTAGAAACTTTTAGGGCTGTCGGCCTGTACGTTTGAGTTTGCCATGTCTACCCGTGGCTTTATAAAGGAAAAAGACATTAGAGACATTTTGTATAGATTTCACAATAGTCTTGGTCCCATGCTGGGTATAGGATCTCTCATAGAAGCTTGAGAATCATTCTGCTCTGTCTGCACTGTTGAGACAGAAAGCCTTGTGGCACAGTGGTGAAACTGCAGTAGGGCTCAGGACTGACTCAGCCTTCCATCTTACCAAGGTTGGTAAATTGAATGCCCAGCTTGCGGGGGCAGGTGGGAATGTCTACCCTGCATAATTAGAAACTGCCCAGAGATTCCTTTAAGCTCTATGGGGCGGTATAAATATAGCACACTTTGCTTTGCTTTGCTTTGCTTGGCACAAGGAAGAATAGTAGTCATGGGGAGCTGTTCTGGAGAAGATGAGGTAAAAGTATATTTACATATTGTTGAGGCAGACTGATTAATGCTTAGACTGAGGTTAATCACTCAATCCATTTATAAAGCCTGCCAAGCTTTACCCAAATTTGGAATGCTTCTTACACCTCAGGTTACTTCATTAAAGAAAGTTTTTTTGTAGAGCTGGGCATGGTGCAAAAAAAAAAAAGCTACTAAAATAAGAAAAGGCTTCTTTTCTGTCTCTAGTTTCTTAAAAAAAAACCTAAAGGAGCTATAAGAGTTTCTAACATTTTGCATGAGGTTAATAAAATGGATAGAGAGAAGTTTTGCTCTCTTGTGACAGTGATAGGGTCCTCCAGCAAATTGGATTGACAGGGAGCTAGAACAAACAAAAGAAAGTAATTTCTTCACCTAGTGCATCATGAGTGTACTGTGTGGAATTCACCAGAGCAAACTGTGTTGATGGTCAGTACCTAGATGGTTTAAAAAGCTCATGAGGGGAAAGCTTTTCAAGGGTTGTTAGCTTAGATATGGCATGTATACAGATGCTCTGAATCCTATGGTCAGAGACAGAGTGTAAGTAAATGGCAATTGCAGAGAAACAACAGTGAGAATGACTGCTGTCTTCATATACTGTTTGCAGTTATCCCAGAGGTCTCTGCTAGTCATGTTCAGAAACAGAATGATTGAGTGGGTTAGGCCACAAATCTAAAAAAAAGTAATTTAGGAATTAGTAACTTTGAACATGAGCTCAGCTCTTGAAGAGAATTTTTTTCCCAGAGGATGCTCTACTTGGTGACTGCTGAGTTTGATCTGTCCTAATCTTTATGGTGAGAATATGGAAGAGCTTTTCCTGGTGCCATATTAAGCTGTCTTATTTGTCTAAACTGGAAATCAGCTATTCTCAGCGGGGAGCTATTTAACTCCCTGGGGAGCCCTGGCACATTTGAAGAGGGTCACAGACTGAAAACAATTCTTCACACAACACCTTACTGTATAAGGTTCACTGTGTAACTTATACAATCCTGATTCGGCCTGTATTTTGTTCATATTGTATTTGTGGTTGTGGCCAAAAGAAGGTTGTGACTGATTGATTTAAATGAACAGATATTTATGGCTTTTTCCCAGCTGATGATGCTGAACCGATTCATAATAAAGTAGTATTTTTGTGACTTGAGGATGTTCATTGTGTCAGAATTTGAGAAACCTAAAATTTCTTATTTCATCCAATCTGTGTGTATAAAGAAAACAACACATCTCTTCCATTTCTAAATTCATTATAAAACATTTTGAAAGCATATCTTAATCTAGTGATTAAAAAAAGTGATCTAGTGATTAAAAAAAAACCAATAACAAAATTAAAATAATGTTCAAACTAGGAAGAAGAGAGGTCAATTCTTATAACCATTATAAGCTATACTGAATTTTTAAAATGATCTTGCTGATCAGAAAGTGACCTTACTTAAGAGGGAGTATAATAATCTGGTGCTACTTTAGGAAAGGCCTTGTCTTATATTCTTACCTGTCAAACCTCTTCTAGTGGTGTGATGTAGAAAAGAAACTCAGATTCAACACAGATTGGTTCATATGAGAAAAGGTAGTTTTCTGAATGTCTAAATCCTAATCTGCTCATTGAATCTCCAGTTATGGAAGCATGAATTGCATCTTAATTTGGTTCAAGCGCTCTGAATTGTGAGTGCTTGAACCAAATTGTGAATTGTGAATCTTTTTAATGCTCATTGAATCCCCAGCTATGGAAGTATGAATTGCATTTTAATTTGGTTCAAGCGCTCTGAATTGTGAGTTATATCCTATATAAATTCCATTGATTCAAATGTGTCTACTCTAACTGGAATTTACTGTGTTTAAGTAAATCCCAGTTAGACTAGGCCCATTTGAATCCATGCAATTTATGGAGGAGTTGATTTACCAAATCTCTACTGATACTACTCTACTGAAACTTACGACGTTAAGTTTTGCCACTAATATATAGCACAGTGCCATCCTTTTAGGTATTCTAGCTTTCTTAAACAGAGAAGCATGTTGCTGTTTTTTAATTAACCACAAATATATTTCAGTGTGAGATATACATTGAGTAGGGGGATTTGGCCTTATTGGCCCCTTCCAACTCAATTATTCTATTATTCTATGTTTAACAATGTTTACATTTGTTCTGTTATGGAAGATGAAAGATATATTCAAGGCTAAGTAACAATTTATACACTGTGTAATTACAACACAGAAAATATTTTTAATGTAACAAAATGGGAATTCTGTGTGTTGGCAGTCTGATCGTTTTCAGAGGCCCTCTTGTTTGTCATAAGACCCTGATGTTAGAAAAATGTGAAGGCAAGAGGAGAAGGGGACGATAGGGGATGACAGAGGACGAGATGGTTGGACAGTGTCATCAAAGCTACTAACATGAATTTGACCCAACTCCGGGAGGCAGTGGAAGACACGAGGGCCTGGGGTGCTCTGGTCCATAGGGTCACGAAGAGTCGGACACGACTAAAGGTGTCAAAACTCTGAAATGTCCTCCTTTTGGGGACACCTGCACTCCACTTTTGAATGTTTTTAAGAATGTGTTGAATACTTTTTAAAAAAAATCAACATGTTTTTAATGTTTGATTTGGTCTTTTGGGGGAACTACACCTATTTTAAGTGGTATATAATGTAGTTTTTATATTAGAGTTTAATCTTGTAGTTTTGGTTATGTTTCCTAATTTTACGTGTGTCACTTTGGCTGATTGTTAGAATAAAAATATGATCTAAATAAATGATAATTCCTATATATTTACAGAAGAGAGATTATGTGTAAAATCATCACATGTTGCTGAATCACATTTGGTATATTTGAAGAACTGTTAAGGAATATTTATATTTTAATGAATATTGTTAGCACAACTATGTCTAAGTTTTAGTTCTCCTGCACTTTAAAATTGGCATATAGTCATTTTTATTAGAATTAACACACACTTAGATTATTATTGTTCTTTTGTGTAATGGTGTAAAGTGCCTGTTTGATAATGTTAAGTTACTGGGTGCTAATTTTAATAAGCCCTTATAAGCAACTTAGAACTTTGAATGAGAGATGATTATTTTTGTAATATATTTTTAAAATTATTTTCATTTGTCCAAAGGATTTGTTTTCTTATTTAGGTTCCTTATAAGATAGAAAATACAAGAAATGTAGTTTGATCCATCTTGACAGTGATGAATGAATAGTTAAAAAGTAAGATTATGAGAAATTAAAGGCAAAAGAGCCTAATGACAGTTCTGGTTGTTTGGTTAAAGATTTTCTCATAATGATAATGAATATTTCATGTTTTATATTACTTAGAGATGTGGAGTGGTCTGTTACCCCCTGGTGTAAATGAAAGTGATGTTGACACAAGTTCTGATGATGAAGAAACTTTGGATGGCCCTGAACCTATGTTAGAGAAAGAAAGAGAAGAAAGGGATTTCAGAAGGCTTCAGACTTCTGTCTCCAAGACACAGAGGAATGAGGATGTCATTGAAAGAAAACCTCCTTCTGCAGCAGTGGCAGATGAAGTACAGGAATCCCAAGCATGTCCTCCTGGAATTTCTTTAGATATGTGGAATGTAAGCTTGATTACAACTCCATACATAACAAAAAGTGAAGTGTAGTACTGTCATTCCTGTAGCTAATTTTTAAACAGGTGATCTTTCTGATAAGACATGGTTGAAACAAGGTTAGTGGAACATAGTGTGCCATAGAAAGATATTTAGCTGTGAAGAAGAAACATAAATCTTTTGGTTTTGTCATGTTTAATAGCAGATGTTTTATGTTTTACACCTTTTCTGTGTTCAGAAGGTAGCACTGCTTCTACATGTCCAAGGCAGCTTTGGAATAAAGTTTCTTAGTACAGCAAACCACCCTTTCACAGTAAGGCTCCAGTTGAGTGTTTGCTTTCTTGGGTATATATCCCAAGAAATGCATGGAGACTTCTTTCTAAGTGTTGTATTTTTCCGTGTATAAAATGACACTTTTTCCTAAAATAATTAGAGGAAAAATTGAAGGTCATTTTATACATGGAAGTAAGGAGTGGGGGAGAGATCAAAGTGTTTTGACCCCTAGTTTTCCCCTCCACGTTTTGCAAAAGAAGTGTAAGGGGAAAGCGATTCCTGCTTTGCCCCTACACTTTCATTGCAAAAAGTGTAGGGGGAAAGGATCTTTTTGCAATGAAAATGTAGGGGCAAAGCAGGAATCACTTTCTCCCTACACTTTCATTGCAAAAAGCTGCTTTCTCCCTACACCTTTTCAACGAAAGTATAGGGGCAAAGCAGGAATCACTTTCCCCCTCCACTTTTGTTGCAAAAAGTGTAGGGGGAAAGCAGCTTTTTGTAAAGAAAGTGGAGGGGAAAGCACTTTCTTCACAGTAAAGTGGAGGACGAAAGCAGGAATCAAAGTGTTTTGATACCTGCCTTCCCCCTCCACTTTTTTGCAAGTTAAGAAATGTTGGGTTAGAAAAGTAGGGGGTCTTATACATGGGGGCGTCTTATACACTGAAAAATATGGTGGATGTATGTATTCACATATGATATACAGTGGTGCCCCGCATGGCGACGTTAATCCATTCCGGATTAATGTCGCTATGTGGAAATATCGCTAAACGGAATGGAAAACCCCATAGGAACGCATTAAACTTCGTTTAATGCATTCCTATGGGGCCCAAACTCACCATTCAGCGAAGTTCCTCCATAGCGCCACCATTTTCGCACCCTCGATAAGTGAGAAAACCGCGCGAAAATGGTTGCAGCGGCCATTTTGGGCATACAGTGGCCATTTTGGAACTGCCGATCAGATGTTTTAGGAACATCGCAATGCGAAGATCAGTAAGCGAAACACTTACCGATCATCGCAATGCGATGTTTTGCCCATTAAAACATCGCAATGCGATCGCATTAGCGATCTAAAAAAATAGATTGCTATGCAGATTCGTCGTTAAACGGTGCGCTCGTTATGTGAGGCACCACTGTATATCCCTTTCCACTTATATAGGTTATAAGTGTAGCTACAAACATTAGTAAAAACAGTAAACAACAAAACTGTTAAAATCAACGAATCATCATCATCTTTGTTTAAAAGAAAGGATAGTGTTGTTGTATCCTTTTCAAAGCAGCAAGAATGAGACCTGATCACAGATTTGAGGGAATTACATTCCACAAACTAGGAGCAACACAAAAGAAACAATGTTCTCTCCAGTATCACCCAAGCAGCCCTCCACACATGTTGGGTTTCTCAACAGGATCTCTCTTGAAGGTGTTAACATCTAAACTGGCTGATAAAAAGTGAGGTACTTCCTTAGCCAAGCTATGAACTATTAAGGGCTTTTAAAATTAAAATTAGCACCTCAAATTAACCCTGGAAAGTAACTGGCAGCCACTGCAAGTCTTTCAACCTCAGCATGATATGGTTTTGCTATGCAAGGTTGCACTGTAAGCAGGCATTCAAAAATAGCGAGGTTTTTCCCGGGCTGATAGCGGAAGGAATTCCCTCCCCAGGCGCTTTTAGCCTTAGTTTCCGCCCTTTCAGGGGGGTGAGGGAAGCCCCTGGGGATTTCCCCATCTCTGCGCAGAAGGACGTTCCTTTCACCGTCAGGGCAGGGACTGCTGGGACGTGGAGGGAGAGGTCCCCTTTGTTCTTGCTGGCCACGTGCGCACTCAGGAGCTCCCTTCCAGCACTGAGCAGGGGTTTCCTAGCCTGGGGCTCGGGAGGGGGAGGTTCCCTTGTTGCTAGACGGCGGCAGCCAGCCATTGTTCAGTTTAATTCAACAGCTGATTGGCAGCTCCGCAAAATGGCTTCCCTAGGGTGTTTTGGGCACTGATGCTTCGGAAGACAGTGATTTAAAATGGCTTTCCTATGGGCGATCTTCACACAACGACGACTATTTTCCCCATTGGAACGCATTAAACGGGTTTCAATGCATTCCAATGGGGAAACTCTTTTCGCAAGACAATGATTTCGCTAAACAGTGATTTCAATGGAACACATTATCATTGTCTTGCGGGGCACCACTGTATTCTACAATAACTCTTTAGCCTTTATGTAAAAGTTTGCAGCTGATGTCTGAAGAGCATTCCTGCATAATTTCAGGAATTATCAGGGGGTATAATAATCTATTAATTTAACCCAGAGGCCTCTTGTATGTGTGGGAGCTGAGCTGGTGCATGCAATGTATACAGTATCTAGGCTTTTGTGTTCACTGTTGTGTCATGAATGGCACATATGTTTTATGCAAGTTTTGTTTGTATTTATGGAGTAGTTGTAGTAAACAAAATAGTCAGTGCTTTGGGGATTTCTGCACCACTCTGCAGAGTCTGCTGAGCTTGGATGTGTTTCTAATCATTTTGATTTGGGATCAATAAATATAACTTCAATATAATGGAAATACTTTTTAAAATGTAGGTGCTGAATGCTTAATGAAAGGTATTTATTTTATACATTACACAACTTTATTGTAGACAAACAAAAACAGCCTAGTCTTCTCAGTTTGCATTTTCTCTTTCAACAGAAATTTCAGCGCTTGCAGAAGAAAAACTTTGAAATGAAAATCCAAGTAAAAAATCAGAGAGACAAGGGACAAAAGAGAAAGCGTTCCAGAAAAGGTGTTACATTTTCAATTAATGCAAGTGCTGGGAAATGCTTTTAGTTAAGGGTTGGTTGAAAACACTTGTGTGTAATCATGTTCCAAAATGATTTAATATGAGGTTTGGGTGGCAGCAGAGACACACATTTTGTGGCTTATTGAAGTTCAGGATTTCTGTGATTTGGTTCTGATCCAAAGGTATAAAAAGAGATGCAATTATACTGTGGTCAGTATCCAAAGAGCTGCATGGCTAGTTTCAGGTGCCCTAAGGGGTTTGGACATGTTTCTAGACCAGCAACCCCAGGGCCTCATGAATTTGAGAAGCATTTTATAATAAAGCAGGCGGGACTGTGCTTCAATGAGAAAGTCAAAGGCCTTTGGGCACGCCTGAAAAAGTGCTTTGAATCTTGGTCCATTTATGTAGTGCCTTTTATATGCCATACGCTTTACAGTGTTTGTCATTTATTCTTTCTATTACGTAGGTCATTCTAGTTTTATTGGCAAACTAAAGTGAAAGATAGTGACATGCTCACAAAGTTTTTAATCATAGCAGCATAGCTAGGTTTTAATTTCCACATTTAGGTTTTGTACATGACTTATTGAACTTCAGTGGTTCTCCTGTTTATTTTGATTGTAATACTATTCAAAATTTAAATAACTAATGAGTTTTCAGGGTGATATTTGAACTACCATTTGGATTATTTTAGACTCTTAAATGATTTAGCTTTGTGATGCTCTCTGCCAGGAGCCATCTTGTCAAACACTCTTGGCTCCACCATAAGGATTCTGTGTGTCAGTTACCTCTTTGGGATCTCCCCATTAGAGAAGATGCTGATGGGTTTTACATTTCTTCTTTGTTCAGTAGTATGCTGATAGTGATCAGTGTTGTCAGTTCAAGTAGAGCTGGGCTTCTGTTGTGAAAGAAAGAGGTGGTCCATACCCTTTGCCCTCTCTTGAGAAGAAGCACTTTGAATTGGGGCCACTGTATGCTCGATTTAAACTACTGGAACTAACTTCAGTGTAAAGATTACGCTAATTTTAAATGTGTTCTTTGATCAGCAGCATTCTGTTAATATATGATCTGTAATACAATCCTGTGTAGGTTTTCTTGGAAGTAATTTTGTTATGTCTAGTAGTCTTACTCCCAGGATTACCATTAAAGTTATTGTTTATCTTGTGCTTAAGCTAATAATGTCTCGGTCAATGTACCACAGTTGCATCACTGAGCACAGAAGGATTTCCATAGGAAACTGGAGACAAATTGTGGTGCTGCAGATGTTGCTAGAGTGCTACTCCCACCGGCCTTAGCCAGCATAATCAGTTGTAAGAAATAAGGAGAGTTTGAGTTGCAATCCATCATCTGAAGGGCCGGACCCCCCACCTCAGGGTGCAAGAAAGACATATCCTGGACTTCATTCTCTCTGTGCATCCATACATACCAGTGTAGCAGCTTGGTATTGGAGGTATGCATGGCCTTCCCTTCCATGTAAAGCTAGGCATGTAAGTTAACATAAATGATATATCCATGTATTTGCACTCTGGGGGAACAAAATGTTGTTATGAGAACTCAGTGCTGGGTGCTCAGTGCTGTACTGAACTTAGACTTGAAATTTCAAACTGTATTTAAGAGTATTTCTAACAAATATTAAACTTAAAGTGTTTTTCTCCTTTTTAGCTAAATTGAAAAAGAACAATCAAAATATAAATGAAAGGTATATCAAAATTTACTATAATCATATATTTATTTTCATTTTTATCCTACAGAATTTATTTTTATTTTTCAGTCTTCTTCCCCTTTCAGTCTCTGTAATTCCTGTTGACTTGTTGTAATATGTCTTATACTCAAAAGGGCTTAGTTGGCTCTGTCAGGCATTTTTATTTCCAAATTCAGTTGCAATAATTGGAACTGTAGAATAAGTAAAATGTTTTCGTCTTTCCATTAAACATAGATAGGTGGAAGTTGAGTGGATCATATGCACTTATGTATCCAATGTTAAAACAGTAACATCTTGTTAATATCATGAGAAGTTTACAAATAGAAGAGCATAGTGTGCTGAAAACATCTGTGGATTTGAATGTATTGATTGTAAGAGTATGTTAATACATGGTGGCCAGATTCCTTTTACTTATTACTATAGTCATAAGTTCATCAGTGTACATCTCAGCAGCTAATTGTCAAGTTGGTCTTTGCATTTGGTGCTCCGCAGTTATATGTTATTGATCAATAACAAATGCAAACACTGACTTCTTAACTTGTGGCAATTTGCCACTGAAATTTACACTGATGGCCTTATGCTGACATAATTCTTCAGTTGGATTCTGGCCATTCAAATAGTCAATACTTTGTTTTCCTCTTAACATAATAATCCCATGTAACTGCTTTATCTTTTCTTCATTGCAGCCAACAATCTGTACAGGAAAGCCAGTTGAAAGAACTCACTCAGTATTTTGGAATCAATGATAGGTTTAAACCAGTTGCAAGCAAGGAAGCCCCTCCTAAGGTGACATGTGATACGTTCATCAATTTAAATTTGTAGCTTGCCCGTCAATTAAATGGACAGTCTTCAATTGAAATAACTCTTGGTCCCCTGCCCTGTGGCAGAGCCCAGAGTGTTCTCTCTTTCAACTCTACAAATTCAGGAATATTCATCATTAAATCCAAGTATTCTTCTAGGGAGGAGGCAAGCAAGCTCTGCAGCTGCTTCTTAATTGGTTGATGGAAGGGCCAGATTGCTTTGCATTTGCTATTGTGGTTTACCTAGAATCTGCGGAATGCAACTGATACCAGAGGCCAGAATGTGCTTTGTTTTAGCCTTGCAGTCCCTGGCAGTACATACCCCAATACAGAAAGTTTTGCCTGTATTTTAATTCCTCACTTTTTAGAGCAAAATCAAATTCGTCCTTTAAATACGAATACTGCACTTTTAAAAAGAAAAATATGGGCATAGTTGATACCCAGACAATGCCACAAACTGTCCTTTTTTTAGTATGTGATCCTCATTATGACATTTGTTACAATATTGATTCATCTGAAGATGCATCAGCACTGGTTGGTAAAAGTAACACTCCAGCAAAAGCTTGTGCCAAATAAAATGTTTTTGTCTTTAAGGTGCTACAAGATCCCTGCTTGCTTTTGCTGCTACAAACTAACATGGCTATACCCATGGAATTTTTTTGACTGCTGGAGGTGAAAGTTAGGATTAGACCTCAGCCACATTCTCAAGATAGATCCAAAATTATGTGTATAACTAGAGATATCAAAATGCAGAGCCCTAAGTGTCTCACCAAATTATTTCAGAAGACTTCTAGAAAAAAAGTTTAATGCACCTTTTAGGGATTTGAAGGGACATGGTGGTGCTGTGGGTTAAACTGCAGAAGCCTCCGTGCTGCAGGGTCAGAAGACCAGCAGTCGTAAGATCGAATCCACGCGACAGAGTGAGCTCCTGTTGCTTGTCCCAGCTCCTGCCAACCTAGGAGTTCGAAAGCTCTAAATGCAAGTAGATAAATAGATACCACCACGGTGGGAAGGTAACGGTGTTCTGTGTCTAGTCGCACTTGCCACATGACCATGGAAACTCTCTACGGACAAATGGTGGCTCTGTGGCTTGGAGATGGGGATGAGCACCACGCCCTTGAGTCGGACACGACTGGACTAAATGTCAAGGGGAACCTTTACCTTTACCTTAGGGATATGAATTAGAAATAAGATACGGACTGAAGTTACAAAAATTGAGAAAAATCACTACATTCAAACTAACAAACCAGGATGTGTTTTTTTAAAAAAACAAATTAGAAATAAGGTTTTCATAGCTGCATATTTTTATGTCTCCACTTCTCCGTTCTAGGCGTATTACTTGAAAGTAAGTTGCACTAGGTAATATCCAGAGGAAATTAATCATGCTTTAGTCCTACTGGATCAATTCAACATGCAGTAGTCCCTCTAAGCTGGGCATGTGTGTGCGGACACCTCTGCCTCCCTCCACACATCTGTCTTCCTCCTCCACTCAGCGATCATGTTAAGTTCCGGTCACTATGGAACCCTGCATGGGGGGGGCGGAGTCGTGCACAAGGAAAAGCCAGAGCCCCACCCAGCGAAGCTGAAAGTTAAGAGGGTACATTGGTAATAACTAACAGTCTCTCTCTTTTTAATGAGACTAAAGCCTAACTAACTTCCTCTGAATCCAGCTCATTAATTGTAAAAGAGGAGGCTTCCATTTGATATGTTTTGGGTGGGAGTATTTATTGAGTTACACTAGCATGATGCAAAACAAGACTTCCTTTATCTATAAAACTTATATTGTTTTATTTGCTTTTCTTCTGTCAGAAGACCTGGAATATTGTGTTCTCATTAATGCTAGGGATCTAGTGCAGTTTTTGACAAATGGCAGATACCACTGCACAGCTAGAGAGGCTGTTGGGCATGTGATATACAGCTAGGACACTGACTTATCTTGCTTGCATTTTTGTTTCTATGCATTTGCGTAATGCAGTAGGATGCTGGCCACTATTTTTTAACAGCCAATAAAATGATTTACTTTTCTTTGGTGCTTCATTAAAAAGTATATTGGGTGATCTGCTGCCTATTTGAATGAGTATAGGTAAAGGTAAAGTTTCCCCTTGACAATTTTTGTCCAGTCGTGTTCGACTCTAGGGGGCGGTGCTCATCCCTGTTTCTAAGCCATAGAGCCAGCATTTTTGTCCGAAAACAATCTTCCGTGGTCTCATGGCCAGTGCGACTTAGACACGGAACGCTGTTACCTTCCCACTGAGGTGGTCCCTATTAATCTACTTGCATTTGCATGCTTTCGAACCGCTAGGTTGGCGGGAGCTGGGACAAGCAACGGGTGCTCACTCTGTTGCGTGGATTCGATCTTACGACTGCTTGGTCTTCTGACCCTGCAGCACAGGCTTCTGCGGTTTAGCCCGCAGCGCCACCATGTCCCTTCAGAATGAGTATATCTAAAGCAAAATGTCAGATCTACCAAGCAACTTTTATTAATTGAAAGATGACAATCTGCTTGTAAAGTCTTAATGACAATATCAAAATGTAATCAACATTCTGTTTCCTTCCCCCCCTCCCCTCCATTCTTCCGATATATTACAAGTGGAGTGTTCAGTAAGGATGAACCTAGAGTTTGAGGGCAGAATTATTATTATTGCATTCATTAGTGGGCCTTCATTTGTAAATGTTAAGTCAAGACAAGTCAGGATTTGTCTGTTATTAAAGTTCTTTCTTATTGCTTGTTTTTAGAGATTAAAAATTTAGCCTTCTTTTCTTTTACACTTGACAATTTACAAGCTTGGATTCAGTAATATAGTGAAGTGGAGTGGCAGCAAGCCAGAATTCACTTTTTGGATAAAGATAAGATCTAAGAATTGCAAAGACACAGTGGTAATTGCCATTCTTCATATTATTTGGCACATACACATCATATTTTATTCAGTGAAGCTTCAGGGATTGAATAGATAAGTCAGATATTGAGATAAAATTTCATTGTGGCAGGCATAAACTAGTCTGTATTTTTTTAAAGTGTAGTATTTAACACATAAGGTGGAACATAACATTTGTTCTGTAAGCATTTAGTGGTATTGACCTTTAAAATATATAAAATATATTTCTGCATATGATACAGAAATTATAGCTGTGTGAATGAATATAATACATTTCCTTTGGCTCATGTTTATATGTTCTGTTTATATTCTAGAAGGAACTGTTATTTATATATATATATATATTTTATCCTTTCAGTCTGGTCTTGAAATCAGCATAGACAGATCTTTAGCTGAAGGAGATATTGCACAAGCTGAGGAACTGAGTGATAGATTTGCTACTCGAGAGGTAAGTTTAGGGTTTTTGTGTATTTTATGATACAGATAACAAATATAGCTAAGTGGTATTCTCAGATTGTTAAACCTTTATTGTTTTGTATCCAACAATTTATTTTCAAGTATAGGTTGTGGAGTGTAGTTCCTTGAGAAATGTTGTGAACGTATCCTGTTTTTGGAGCAGACCTTGATTTCCAATTGTAAACCAAGCTGTACACGGGTGAAAGTGTTCAGTAGGCATAGTTAAGTGGAGAGGGGAATTAAAAGCTCTACCCATTGTTTCACTACTCCCAGTCATAACAGCGTCCCAGAGTTAGTGACATCAGCACTGAAATGGAAGTCTTTTTGCTGTTGCCAAGTTGGTGGCTGGGTGGTGAGGAAAATAGAGCTTCACAGGACATCTGGGGAGCAGTTGAGAGCCACAAGTATTACAAGTTGCCCAGCTGTGGTTTAGATTTATGTAACAACATTTATACATGACAGCATACCATGGTTTATTTAATCAGAAACTAGGTGGTGCTTGCTGTTGAAGTGAGGGAAAAATTAAGAGGTAGCACTGCAGGTTTAGAGAGGTTTATTCCTGTATTGCTTAAATACTGTTTAGGTTTAGTCTGAACCAGGAGATTAAATAAACCAATGTTACGAGAGTTCTATCATGGGCCAAGTTACAGAAAATATACACTTGTTAGTAACTTATGACTGAAGCTGTAGGCTTACTACTTGAAGAAAAGTAATATGGACTGAGTTGTGAAGATTCATGAGAACAAAAGCTGTGGAAAGCTATGTATGCATTTGGTAAGACATGCAGGAAAAGCTTCTGAAATATCTGGAAAGGGTAGAGATGATATCTGGTTTGAAGTAAAAATGAAGGACTGTGTTTTTAAGGACTGTTTAGGAGACCAGTAGGCAGGGTGGATTTGATTTTTTATTTACTATAAATCGTCGTTTAGTCATGTCCGACTCTTCGTGACCCCATGGACCAGAGCATGCCAGGCCCTCCTATCTTCCACTGCCTCCCGCAGTTGTATCAATTTCATGTTGGTTGCTTCACAGACATTATCCAGCCATCTCATCCTCTGTCGTCCCCTTCTCCTCTTGCCATCACACTTTCCTAACATTAAGGTCTTTTCCAAGGAGTCTTCTCTTCTCATGAGATGGCCAAAGTACTGGAGCCTCAGCTTCAGGATCTGTCCTTCCAGTGACCACTCTGGTTTGATTTCCTTTAGAATTGATAGGTTTGTTCTCCTTGGAGTCCAGGGGACTCACAAGAGCCTCCTCCAGCACCACAATTCAAAGGCATCAATTCTTCGGCGGTCTGCTTTCTTTATGGTCCAGCTCTCACTTCCATACATCACGACAGGAGAGACCATAGCTTTGACTGTGCGGACTTTTGTTGGCAAGGTGATGTCTCTGCTTTTTAAGATGCTGTCAAGGTTTGTCATCGCTTTCCTCCCAAGAAGCAGGCGTCTTTTAATTTTGTGGCTGCTGTCTCCATCTGCAGTGATCATGGAGCCCAAAAACATAAAATCTGTCACTGCCTCCATATCTTCCCCTTCAATTTCCCAGGAGGTGATGTATTTCTTCCGGCAATCTTAATTCCGGTTTGGGATTCCTCCAGTCCAGCTTTCCGCATGATGTATTCTGCATATAAGTTAAATAAGCCGGGGGACAATATACAGCCTTGTCGTACTCCTTTCCCAATTTTGAACCAATCCAGTTCTAACTGTTGCTTCCTGTCCCACATATAGTTTTCTTAGGAGATAGACAGGGTGGTCAAGCACTCCCATATCTTTATGGACTTGCCATAGTTTGCTGTGTTCCACACAGTCAAAGGCTTCTGCATAGTCAATGAAGCAGAAGTAGATATTTTTCTGGAACTCTCTGGCTTTCTCCATAGTCCAGTGCATGTTAGCAATTTGGTCTCTTTTACAATAAATAATTGATTTTTTTATTCACCCTGCCAGTATCCTGCCAATAATTGATTTTTATTCACCCTGCTTAATGTTGCCTTTAAGCTGTGCAGGTGCGCGTGTTAATGCCCATTTGCTTCCTGTTGCTGCCAAACCATGCAGACAAGGGGCAGAGCTCTTGCACAGTGCGTTGGAAAATTAGGGGGTATGTTGGCACTGACCAACACTTGACTGTTTAGCAGACCAACGAAATTGTTTATTAAGAACACTTTTATCCCTACTTTTCCATATACAGTGGTGCCTCGCTTAACAATCGCTCCGTTGAGCGATGAAATCGCTTTGCGATGGACTTTTTTCCATCTCTGGAGCGATCGCTCAGCGATGTCCTCTATGACTAAAATTCGGGGAAGCGATCATGGCAAAGGGAACTTTTTTAAACAGCTGATTGGTGGTTCCAAAATGGCCGCGGCAAAAACAAAATGGCCACCGCTGTTTTGCCTCGCTGTAGAGGCACCTAAAATGGCCACTGCTATGGAGGAATTTCGCTTTAGGGTAAGTTTTTAGCCCATAGGAATGTATTAAACACGTTTTAATATGTTCTTATGGGCTTTTTTAAATCGCTTAGCGATTAAATCACTTAGCGATGTTTTTTCCGGAACGAATTAACATCGCTAAGTGAGGCACCACTGTATTATCCATAAAGAGCAATTAAAATATTTATAACTTTTAAAGCTTGTCTCTTAAAGACAGTAAAGGAGGTGCCCATTCACTTCTCAAACCATAGGATTCTCCTAAGTCCCTATCTTAATCTGCGGAGTACCTGAAATGCTTTTCCTTTGGAAATATAGTGCTTAATAGTAGGTGAGATTCCTCACGAGCTCAATATCGTTTTGTTTCTTATTATCTGTTTAACCATTTGACTATTTTTTAAGTCCAGTGTAGAAAACTAACACAAATAAAATTCAAACTTAGAAAACATAAGAAAGATTACTTTGTAACTATAAGATATCACCCCTTAATATTTTTACATTTAACAAAACTGTTGTTGCAGATTTTTTTAAGACTATGTCAGAATGAGTGTTTAATGGATGGGTATTTTAGAAATCAAGTTCAGTATATAGGTTTTTGATCAGTAGTATTTCCTTTTTTGAGAAGCAGTAACTGGGACCTGCTGATAAGGCCTTTGCTTTGAGGCACAGATCCCTGAGTTTTTAAAGCTGCCTCCTCCTTTAATAAGTGAATCTAATTTTTCATGTATAACATTTATAAACCTGTGAAACCGATAGAGCAGCATCAGTATTTAGGAGAGAAGTGAAGCCAAAAATAAAGAGATGGCTAAGAAGAAACTATAAAAACATACTCTGAAAAGCTAGGGAATGCCAAACATAGCTGTCAATGTACTATCATTATGTCACAGGGAAAACCAATTTTTCTGGAATCAGATTGCCTTAGAATTGAAGATGGACTTAAAGAATGTATATTATCTGGTGAGAGACTGACTAGAATGAGAAATATATATTCTTGAAGCATGAGTGACAATTTTGAAAGGTTCTTGACTAAGGAGCACTTGATGTAGTGTATTATGCTTTAGCACTGTTGTATTTTTCAAGATGGCTACTATTACATTGATGAAACAGCATACCTTAAGAAATGCTTCATATCCCTAGGATTGCACTGACTACTACATTCACTTGCTAGTACTTGAAGATTTTAAACAGTTATAAACTTCCCTGTGACCCTTCAGATTTAATTCTGATGAGCTCAATTTTCCCACCCTACTCCCTACCACCCCAAAATGATAAAACATTTGAAAAGTAAATGAATTTGTTCAGGATACCCTGGATAGAAATGTGTTTTGTCTGTGTCTAGTTAGAATTTAGACTTAATTTTATTTATTTGTGTCAATAGAAAATTAAGTAAGAATAATGAAAGTTTTGCTTATGTTTTTATGGGTGTGTCCAATTTCAACATAATGTAACGGTGGTAAACTTGATGAGTGATTTCATCAACATTTGTTTTGGTAGTCTGGTATGTTACACAAACTAGTTTGTCCCTGCGTAGTTTGGAAACATTTAAAGTATGCTGAAACAAGATTTCTTTTAAGGAAAACATACTGGCAGTTTCTCAGTAAGGCTTGTTCTTCTGACTTTATGAATGCTTTTCACCAGTTTTCAGATACAGTCATGGACATAGTTCTCTGCATTTCATTTTTGGGTTCATATTTTTCCATTTATAAGACGACTTGATGTATAAGATGACCCCCCCTCCAAATTCTAACCCCAAATTTGAAATTTTGACTGCTGCTTAGCCCTTCCTTTTGCTAAGTCCTGGGGTAGTTCCCCTCCTTCCCATCCACCCTCCTGCCCTTTCCCAAAAGATATTCATGAGATTTGGGACATTCTCTGGAAAAGGGTAGTATGAAGCATGGAGGACCCCTGCTGTCGGAGGAGTAATAACAAATGCAAACCTTAGACTCATCTTTTGTTTGTGGAAATGCCTCGAGCTTGTACAGCTGTATATTTTTGTCCAGGCTGATGGACAAAAAGCTCAACTAAGCCAGAATGTGCAAGATTTCTGCAAAATGCCTAATTTGTTAATTGCTTTTAAAAGGGGCCAACAAGCCTTAATTTTTGACATTAACATTGAGGAGAAAAAAATATAAATTTAATGATTACGTGTAAAATTATTGTTATTTTTAATTAGAGGTGGACACAAATCGCTAGCTTAGAGTGGGCACTCACTGGAGATGGTATAGCTGAGAAGTGCTGGGTACTTGTTTGGCTGAAAAACAAACCGGTGCAAAGCACTGAATCAGTGGTTCATGCTCATCTCTGTTTTTAATCATTAACAAGTAATCCTGACTTAATTTGCAAAAACTGTGGGCAGGAGCACTATCTATGTAGTTCTTAATTTTCTCTTTCCCAAGCACTATTCTAAGCCTGATCAATCATCTATTGCTTGTCCCTATCTTAAGTCTCCCTGTATGTGTTTTTTCCTTATAACATACTGTAGTGTTCTCAGTGGTCATTGTCCCTTCCTTAGAATAGACTCATGGAGTTCACTTTTCCTCTCTGCTGCTTTTCTTTTTCATCATGCCTTCCCT